ACCCCTTTTTCTTTTTTTTTTTCAGCGCTGTCCCCAAAACGCGCCGGGGAAGCGTCCCGCTTTGTGTGCCAGGGGTTTGTGTCCACCCCCAAACGGCCGGGCGTGGGATGGTGTGTAGGTTGTGTAGGGGGGAAGGTGTAGAGGAGCGACCCCGCTGCCGCTGGGGAGGGGGACCGGAGCCCGCAGGCCGCGCTGGGGTCGGGGGATGTTTACCAGCCCGGCGCGGCAGCCCCGGGCGAGGAGCCGTGCGCCAGAGGATGCAGCTCGGCAGGGAAGGCGCCTGCTCCCCGTTGGTGCAAAGAGGCAGTAACCAGGATGTTTCACAGCTGAACACACTTACGTTCAGGCTCGCTAAACGCAATGGGAATATGTGGTTTGATTCTCTGCAGCGACAGCAGAGATCAGCTGTCCGTAGGACGGAGAAAGGCCGGGACAAACCCTTGGTCGTGGCTGCGCAGGGATGGCAGGTGCTTTCTGGAGCGTGCCACGCTGAGCGCTGCACGGGCACAAACAATTTGAGAGGTTAAACGATAGTAACGGAGACTCGATGAGGAAAAATAAAGGCGGCATGTGGGACCGTGCCAAGAGTTTCCCACAGAACTGCATGGTAAAAACAGCAGTCGTGGTTGGAGCAGGCTCGGCCCCAGCTAAACAGGGGGCTGGTGTTGTCACGGGACGCATGCCGCTCAGACAGCGCTCATTTGGAAGGGGTGGGAATGTACCCTCAGCTCCCTGCCTCCTGTTTTCCTATATTTTTCATGCATCTTTAACCCTCATCCGCTCTTTCATCCTTCTCCCTCCGGGAGCACTTTCCTTGCTCCACATCTCTGTGCAGCTTCTACTTCTGTGCTGTAATGACTCGCCTGAGGAATGTTTTGGTTTCAGTAAATAGATGAAACCTCCCCTACCCCCACCCCTCTCACCGCCTTCCTTCACATCTGTGGCGCTGGCGTTTGGCCCAGGTTGTGCAGTAGCCGGTCCTTATCCACTGACAGGTTTTTCTTCTGCTACCTTGCAGCCTTTCGGGGCGAGGAGCTGGTGCTTTATTCCACTGAGAGAGGAGGTGCTTTAGCTTGCAGTTGCATCAGCTTCCAGCTTTGGATCTCGGGCTGAGGTCTGTAGAAAACACGCCTGGGTGCCGTCCCCTTCTTCTGCCTTTGCTGTGAAGAGCAAAAGCTGTTGGATGGCTTCAATTTCCTTTCTTTTACACGTTAGGAAGTTTGGGGCCCTGGAGGCTGCTTACCCTTAGTGCTGGTGGTTGACCTGGCCCGGCGCTCGGGTTGCAAGCACGATGAGCAGGCGACCTTCAGCGCAAGGGCAGGCTGCGCTGCTGCGATGGGCAGCAGCATTGAAAGGCGGGAAGAGTGTAAGGGGCAGGAACAGTGAGTGACATAAAAAAACCCACATCGTGCAACTTTGAAATGCCCTTGCCAAAGCGCAGGCTTGAATTCCCAATGTGAAAAGCTAGAGGGAAGTGAGCAAGCCCAGGTCCCTTTGTGGTGCACTCTAAAGTATGAAAAAATCAGGCAAAAAGTCTGTGTTGTGTTTATCCCTTTCAAATCACCATTAGCCCTGTGATAAATTGTGCCCCGTAAAGACAGCAGCTCTTGGGCTCCTCCTGCAAGCTATTTTTCTTGGCAAAAGGCAAGATATAGCTATTACTTGAATAAGCTGAAGCCTCTCAGATTTGTGGGCATAGGCAAGAAGCACGATGGTGCACATGCTCTCCAGAACCCTTAAACTTTTTTGTCATAGCACAGGGAATTTCTTAAGAAGGAAATTCGTAAGAACGAGCTCCGCTTTTTCAGAGAGTTCTCTGATTTAAGCATTTCCAGTCTGCTTTGCATAGTTTAACAGCTGCCCCCACAAGGAAGAAACCACTGTAGTTATTTTGAAGACACCTTGTTGGCATTCTCTGGTCTGCAGCTGTGCTACATTTCTGCTCTTCCTGACTCCCGTTGTGAGCTCTTTCAATCTCCATAAATTAGAAGCAATTTCCGTGCAGTCAAGGCTTAAATTACAGTTAAGCATGTGCCATTCTGTTTTGCCAGATCAGGCCCCAAAACGTGCTGCCTAGGGCAGCGTTGAGGCTGCTTTGGAGCTGTAGAAGAGCAGGGTCCAATTCTTCCTGGATCCAGCAGGTTTTGCCCATCTCTGGTTGCTCAGATACTGCGATTTCCTTGTCTGAAACGTGATGCTGTGTAATGTTAACAAAAGCAAAAGCATGTGGAGCCCTCACTCCCTGGAACTGCGTACCACCACCTACAGAAGAGCTGTTTCCTTCCAGCCGGCAGCTCTCCCATGGCTGGGAGGGAAAGGCTCGAACAAACAGGCGCGGACCCCGGGAACAAGAGTCCCCACCACAGGCACAGAGCAGGGGAGAGTCCCCAGGCAGAGGCAATACCTTTATGTTAAAACTTGGCCGAAATAGGTGCAAATCCCCATACTGCTCTGCACGGGCATGGCAGGAGGCGGGAAGGTAGGAGTCTTGGAAGGGAATCGGGGAGTGACGTGCAGCGTGAAGGCAATATAGTTTGCTTCCTGCGGGTCGGTAAGGAAAACAGTCTGTGGAAAAGGCTTTAGGAAAAGGCACTGAGGCCTTCACCTAGTTTTACCTCAAAGCAGCGTTCAGCTTAGATCCTCTCATGTCTTTCAGAAGTACCTGAGGCATTATTGATGTTGGCAGGAGGAGCCGGGGCTGATGGCACGGAACACAAGGGAGAAGCAGAAATGCCTGTGACGGTGTGGGGGTGAATTCAAAGCGCCAATATCTGTTTGCAGCTGGCTCGATAGCAAAAGGCAGATCTAATTCCCTCAGTGCCAAATGTGCAGAGCTACTGTTGTCCCTCAGCCAGATAATTGGGAGAGGAGAAATGATCCAAACGCAGCCAACTATCTTTTTTCCCCCCCTCTTCTGGCTTTCTTCAGTTTCGGCTGTGGATTTTCACCCGTCACTGCATGTCTGTTGATAAAGCAGAAAACTCCAGTTCATCCTTTCTTGGGGCAGTTTCACTAGATACGCACACTACCGGACCAAATAACCCCTAACAACAGCCTTGCATGTCCAAAAAAGGACTTGTCCCAAGGTAAAAATGCAGCAGTGCTTACATTTTCCCGGCAAGGAAAGTTCAGGCCTGAGGGAGAATTCCTCCAGGGACTGAAATCAATTATTGCTTCTGGATTTAGAACAAATCCATGACTTTGCAGAAACATCACAGTTTTACAGCTTCTTGGTTTTTCCACGTGTAGTACTCATTGAACGGTAGCTCTGCTCAGCCTCGTGGTCACAGCTTTGCTCCATCACCCTGTGTTAGCTGATTTTGTGCGCTGCTTCTGGCTGCGTTGAAGTCTGCCCTTGCTAGGAAGAGTTTTGGAAGATGCGCTCCATTTCTCAGCCCGCGGTTTGGGGGTCTTTTTGGTTACTGTTTAGCGTGCCATCATTTTGACCAGTGGCGTAGTGGGAGAAAGTGGAGGGGTTGGTGGATGTCCCTGTGCCAAGGCCCTGGGTATATGGAGGGGAGCTACAACCCCACGGTCTGTCTTCCAAATCTGTAGCCTCCTTCTTTGATGTACCTGTCAGAGAGCGGGTGTTTGGTTTCAAATGAATCCTTTAATTTGTTACAGTGCTTCTAAACCAATAGGTCAGACAAGGTATTCAGAGAACTTACCTGGCAGGGGCCGGGACTCTTGAGGCTAACAGCAAAGGGCGTAGAAATCCATGATAGAAAATAGAGACCAAAAATGGTGGTGGGGATTTTGAACAGAGTTGTAGTAAATTGGGGGGGCAGTTAGTTACCCAAGGATGAAGTCTGTAAGCCAAGATTACTTGTCTTTTTGAATGACAAGCTCTACAGAGCACAAGCTAAAAGCGATTGAGACCTTGCCTGAATGGCCTTCTCTGCCCTGTATTCTGGAGGGTAGACAGGGTGGTGGTAATGCTGCTGTCTTAAACAAAGCCGTATGTTCAGAAGGGCTATATTTGGCTTAAGAAAAAAAAAATCGGAAGAGCGAAAGAAACAAACAAAATGCCAGGTGAAACTCGCTCTGCTCTCCTTCCCAAACAGCTGTAACTTACACTTCTGTTGTGGCTCATTCGTTTCCAGGTCCATCACCAGAGCCTACTACAGGAACTCGGTTGGCGGACTCCTCCTCTTTGACATTACAAACCGCAGGTCCTTCCAGAACGTCCACGAGTGGCTAGAGGAGACCAAGGTGCATGTCCAGCCATACCAGATCGTCTTTGTTTTGGTAGGTCACAAGTGTGACCTTGACACGCAGCGGCAAGTCACCCGGCACGAGGCTGAGAAACTGGCTGCTGCATATGGTATGAAGTACATTGAGACCTCAGCTCGGGATGCCATTAACGTGGAGAAGGCCTTCACTGATCTGACTCGAGATATATACGAGCTTGTTAAAAGGGGGGAAATTTCAATCCAGGAGGGATGGGAAGGGGTAAAGAGCGGGTTTGTCCCAAATGTAGTGCACTCTTCAGAAGAAGTGGTGAAATCAGATAGGCGATGCTTGTGCTGAGCTCTTCTAGTGAGGCAAGTGGTGATGAACTCTACTAACCAAAACGTACTTTACTAAGTGAACTCGGTGTGACAGAAGGGAGAGCAACACTCCCGTTGTGAACAGCCTCCCACGTTGTTTTGGATACCGGAACAGACCCCGGAAAGAAATGTTCTGTTCCAAATAACAACCTTTCAGAACTGGGGGCTACCAACCTAAAGGAGAGTGAGTGAGGGTGCATGTAGATGTTGTAAGGAGACAGGAAGCAGAAATGAGGGGCTGCACGAGACAGGAGGGAGTATACAGAGAGCTGAATGGGCTGGCACGTGCCAGGGTACTGTACGTGTCCTCTTTTAAGTAAATCCATAGCTCCATGCTGGGTGTTGAAGCCACAGTATGGATACTTCAGTAGTATGACAAATGGGCAGACGGGGAAAGAAAGAGGACATCTTCATTTGTGTCAGCTGTTTATTACCAGGGAGGTGTAAAGGCAGCACAGATACCGTTTCCTCATAAGGCCAACTCCACAGGAAAAGTTTACTGACATGGTATGCCCACTTCTGAATTTTCTTTCTTATGTTCTTGAACCTAGTTCAATAGCGAAGAATATTCTGTGGGATTTAAAGAGGAAAACAGTAGTTATTTGATCGGTAATTAAAATTTAAATTATCCCCCCCCCCCAATAGTGCTTTTCTTGCTGTGCTGAACTGGGATTCTAAGTGGCAACTCCTGCTCCAGTACTAATTATTCAATGCATTTTTACGCATTTACTGCCTAGGTGAGTACCTTGAAAGTACCCTGAGTTCAGGGCTTTCCAATAGAATTAAGTAAGTGATCAAGAGCATAAAGAGAGAACCATGTCCTCATATGGTATATCGTAAGGCTGGGGTGTTGCAGCCGGGTGGGACGCACCAACATTTCTGTCTTGCTAACAGCACTGTGCTGACCTTTTGGGTGTCTTACCAGCCAGGCCACAAGGAAGAATAGAAAGGAGGGGGGAAAAGAAAAAAAAAAAACCAACAAAAACCCCAACAAAATAAAAAAAAAACTTGAAAAGTTTAACTCAGGTGCATCAGACAGCCTAAAAGATGAGATTTGCTTTTAAAGAAGTTAAATGGCATGGAAAGCAACAGCTTCCATCAGCACTTTCTGCTGTTAAAGTGTCATTTTCTTTCTTGGCATCTGCGGAAGGAGGAGCACACAACCGAAGTGGCTGAGCAGGTGGAAAGGAAAGCCACAAGACACGCTCAACAGTAAAATTTTGTTTCCTCCATGTTTTAATTTGACAAAAGAGGCTCCATCTCAGGTTGGTCATCCTGGGATGGTAGCCGTGTTACAGAAGCTGTAGGTAGGCGGATGTTTTCTGGGAAGGCCATTCACCACTTAGAAGCTTTGCTTCTGCTACGTTTTAACTTAAGCTTTTGAAGTGCAGCAGGGTAACTGTGCTCCTGTAGCAAACTAGGGAAGTTCAGCCTATTAAAAGCAAACAAACAAAACTATAGTGAGTTGTTTTTTTTTTTTTTTTAAACTAACTCGAGTTTGCAAGCTTTATACACCCAACTGCTAATGGGCAGGAGGGAGGGATTAGGTAAAAACCACAGGAAACATCTAGTGTTTGATTTTCGGCCTCTCAGTAGAGAAGAATAAAATACTTGTTACAGCTTTTTAAGCTACCCCATCTATAAAAGTGTGGGTCTTCTAGATTGCTGTCGAGTTCAGACTGTTTCTCCCTTTGAACCTGTTCTTACGGTTTGCAGCACATGGGCAGGTCTGTATGAAGAAAAAACCCTGTGGTTTCCATATTAAAGCTGTAAAAAAAACAAAACACCCAAACCAAAAAAAACCCACAACCAAAACCCTGAAAATGCGTAACGTTTTTATTTTCAGTGTTCTAGGAACAGTTTCAGTTCCTGGGCTCTGCAGGCGAGCAGCAGTGTTGCACCTGCTGGGAGGGCACAGGTAGCAGATTAGATGAAGGGAGGGGTGGCAATGGTCTAGCACCTTTCAGTAAGCTTGTCACTGCTGACCCCCCATTGCTCTTGAATAGGCTATAAACGTATCAAAAGCCTTGTGCTAAAGCCCGGTGACCTCCAGGCAGGTTCAGTTGTGGTCGAGTCGAGTGCCCTGAAGATTAAAAAAAAATAAAAAAAAAAAAAAAAAATCCCTTTACAAAATCTCTTTCTAGGTAAGGAAAGCTGGAGAAGATTGATGCAGAGAGCCACCGGAGCTTGGCTGCCGCAGGCTCTCAAGGGCTGACGCCAGTGGGGAGCGCAAGGCTTGCTCGGACCAGGTCCGCTGTTAGTCTCATTTTCACAAAGGCAAGGAGAGACAAGGACGGAAGGGTCAGTTTCTTCATTCTCGGAATGGAAAGTCCGCCAAGCAACCGCTTTGGTCTTTCAGGGTCCAGCTGTCCGCAAGGTGTGTCTTGGGTTGCCTAGCTGAGGGTAGCAGAGCTGGAGCGCTACGTAAACGGCAGTTAGAAGTTGGATCAAACGGCGTTTTAGCAATAGTAAAATTCTGTAATTCTCTGTGCAGGAACCTGGCCAGCAGGGGAAAGATCACTTTTCACGAGACAACCAGTATTTTATTTAATGGGTTTTGGACCATTCCCCTTTACCGCTCCCAGAGAGAAATTCCAGAAAGCCTAAATAAGTAAGTGCATTCAGGCCTTCAGAGTAAATCTGCAATTTAATAATACAAGTGTCGTAATTCTAAAGAGGAACAGTACAGAAGAAAACGTACGCAGTCTTAACTACTTAGAGGTAATAAATGGTTATATTAAATGATAGAGAAATCATTATATACATCTTTTTCTAATACCTTGCATTTTCTAGTCAGCTTATTAAAATATAGGAAATGTAGATTCATCTGTATAAAATTTGGAATGTTTTTTCTAAGATGAAGAACTTACTTATAGGATATGGTAAGAATTCTTTTCTAACAACTGGTTTTAATGCTTTGACTTCTAGTGCAAGAGGGATTTAGAGAAATGAGAAGGTGAGACCTTTCACAGGATAAAGGTCAGGAGCTCTTTTACTCTAAGACAAAAAGGAAAAAAAAAAGTAACTTTCTGTGGTCTCTACCACATGTTAAAAACAATCTGCATGTTAGATTGAAATTGCTCAGAACCTCCAGAATAAAAGCATACTATACACTTTCCTCGCTGTCTGTTATGCACTGTAACGAAATGTGAAAATAATGCTGTATTTAGCTGTCTGTACGTGACTGGAAATATGCTTGTATTTAGCAAAATGGTTACCATGTGATAATGTGAAATTTAAAACTTGTAAAGAAACTTTCGTGGGTTTTTTTTTTTCTTTCCCCCTCCCCGTTCTTTATCAGTAAGCTGTCTGCTACCTTGTGCCACTTCTATACCGCAGCCGTAACTGGAAGTCTAAACGTGGACTGGCTCGACAACGAACAGGCGCTCTCTGCAACGCTACCCGCCGTACATTTTTCTCTGAGGGCCCACTGCCCGGATCTTCAGGACCCGCCAGCTACCTGGCTGAGGAAAAACAGTGCAGCTACAGAAACACCGGCCATTCTAAAACAAAACAAAACCCCCCAAAACAGAACCCCTGCTCCCCGCAGTAGTAGCCAAAACCAGGCTCAGCCCCTCCAGGAGGCCGTTCTCAGCAGCAGGCAGGACTAGTGTCACAGTAGCTGAAACAGCTTCTGCAGACCGGCCTTCTGGTCTTGCTCAAAGGAACAAAGACTTAACAGCGAAGGACGGAGCAATACTGGACAGGGATCAGTCGTAGGGAAGCTGGAGTTCCCGTCTATGAGTTTTGGTTTTTTTACTTGCTTCGTATCAAACAAACAAAAACCCACCCAAAACAAGAGTTATGATGGCCACAGCCATCTCCCATCCCCCCCAAGCCAGACACCTCTGACCCTCCCGGGCAATTCCAGCTCTAACTGTCTTGTGTGTGTGTGTCCCCATCCCCGCCCCCCCAGTACCCAGCATTAGGTCATCGGCGGCTGCACACAGCACTTATTTGGCTCGCGCAGAAATGCTTAACTCGTCATTTCATTGTGCACGACAAAGAAAGGCAATTGCTGCCTTAGGAGCAGCCAGAGGGAGGGGGGGGAACACGCTTTAGCCTGTTGGGATCTCATTAATCCAAACTGTAGAGAAAATTGCGAGAGAAATCAGGCCGTGTTTGCAGCTGCCTTTCCCGTCATCGCTGATGTTCTTAAAAAGAAAGGGAGAGAAGCAGCCTGCGGTCTGAGCAGCCCCCCATTCAGCCTCGTGTAGCAGCGGGCAGACGCCCGTTAGCCAAAGCACACACGAGGTCTAAACGTTTCCCTGCCACAGCCAGAGACGCTGGAACAAACGGTATCGCCCTGCAGGAAAGGTATGGACCAGCCAAGCCCAGGTGCTTTCTTGTGACCGGCGGTAAGGATGTACCTGCGTTACGCCCATCCCGTCAGCTCTCGCTCTTTTGCAGCCACAGTGCTGTCGCATCAGTTGCCTGTATTCACCAATGCAGATGTGCTGACTCACACTCCCCACTTCATTCAAGCCAGTATTCAGCAGCTACGCTGTTCACGTCTGCTGCTTCAACCGAATGTTTTCACCCCCCTGCCCCCAGTTAAGGGAGGGAAACTTTTATACATCTTTTACGAAGATCACGCGTCAGATTCACGACTTTCTCACACAAAGAAAGATGCACAAAAACAGGTGTTTGCCACAACTGTTTAGTTTTACTATTTTAATATCATGAAATAAAAGTACAAAAAATTTACAGGTATATTGTTTCTTACATGAAGATCGAACAGTTAACATTTGCATTTATTTTGCAGCGAAACCTGTATTCTCAGTCACAGAATGTGAATATTAGCCACTGACATCACCACTGAGCATTTCGTTTTAGAAAGAAACTGCAGAGGTAAAAGGCAACAATCTTGCGAGGCTTCGTAAGAACCAAAAGAATATTCCAACTGCTCACACCAGAAGTCATGCTTCAGTAAACCATCCTTATCTAATACAGGTTTCCCCACCTGGGAGGCTGAGCGTG